CAACAGGCAAGATGAGCTCAACAAAAAACAGCTTTTCTTATTACTCTAAAAGTACAGATACATTTAATGCCAGAAAACTCCATTTCCATTGCATATAGCTATTTATTTTGTGATATAAGAAGTCACATATTGATAAATACACTACCACTAATAACTGACATTTTACAAAAATTTGTGTTAAAACAACAAAATCCTCACAATAATCCTGTGGGGTAACAGTGCCAGCATTTTTATCTCCCTTTTCTATAGTAAGGAAGTGAGAATGAAAGAGGCTAAGTGACTTTTCTGGGCTCTTGGAGACGTTAAGAATCTGAGGCAGAAGATGAATTCTGATCCTAGTGACTCTACCATCCAGTGCTCTATCTATTAGACCATCTTGCTTCTCCAAGTGTAGGGAGGAGCAGTTTTTAAATCTTGTTTTGGGCGTACAGGAATTATGCATACAGGCCTACAAAACTCCTCTTAGACTTTGAGTCTTACCTATATGTAAATGTTTGTCTTTTCTTCCTTTGAGCTCCTAGGATAATTATTTTCTATACTATTTGGCATAGAATATATGCTACCATGCATTCAAATAAAAAAAATTACTGAGTACCTACTATGATCTAGGTGCCAAGTTTAGATACATAGATATTATCATATTGCTCTTTCCTGGCTTTCCTATCCACCTAGGTGCTCCTTCTCAGCCTTCTTCCCTAGATCATTATCTGTGTCACATTTCACATAGGCTCTGCAATTTTAATGGTTGATGATAGAATCTCTAAGAATGAGCCTTAGACTGGTACCTGAATAGTAATACCCTCCACAATTTCACCAAATGGTCATTTAGCCATTTCTTGAAATAAAATAATGGAAATTTCACTATCTCCAGAGGTAATCTGCTTCACTTTTGGACAATTCTAATTATTAGAAGGGCAGGTAGGTGAGTGCAGGCTCTGAAGTCAGGAAGACTCATCTTCATGAGTTCAAATCTGGTCTCAGACATTTACTAGCTGGGTAACCCTGGGCAAGTCACTTAACCCTGTTTGCCTCAGTTTCCTCATCTGTACAATGAGCTGGAGGAGGAAATAACAAACCATTCCAGTAACTTTGCCAACAAAATTCCAAATGGAGTCACAAAAAGTCAAACATGGCTGAAATGACCCAACAACAATGATTGTTAGAAAACTGCCTTGTTAATCTTGTTGAGTAAAGTTCAGTATTCCAGAGTGTGGTACAAGGAGTTGGTAGCAATTTGCCTTATGTGCCGCTCATGTTGCCATGGGGAAGATCTCAAGGGACATGTGATTCAGGGAAGGCCCCTAGTCATAGTCCCAGACTTTGTGTTCTACCTTGCCCAGACCAACCAGCTGATTCTTCTAAAGAAGAAACTGCTATGTCTGGGAGGTGGAGCCTCACAAAAAGGAACACAACATAAGAAGAGAGCTAATGGAGAGAAAACAAACAAGCAGAATAAGGAACAATCAGCTAGTTCCACTTTAGATTGTATTTATAGAGGCCCAGCATCCAGAAGGAGGAAGGTTTTAGTCCCATTGTATACTTCCATGGCCCCACCATATCCTAGTATTCATGTCTTCAAAGAGAAGCTCAATGACCATTTACTTGTCAGGAATCTGTAGGGGGAATTTTAATTAAGATGAAAAAGGACTTCTTTGAAGTTCTTTCAACTTTGTAGGACATGGAGTGTGAGCTTGAAGGGTCCTTAGAGGCAATTGGGTCTATTTCCCTCATTTTATAGGTGAGGAAAGTGATGAAATATAGGCACAGTGACTTGCCTAGGTTTACACTGTTGTTAAGTGTTGAACGCAATTCTTCTTGCCCCGAAGTCAAACACTCTATCCACCATACTGAGGCACCTCAAAACATGAGGCACTCATTGTTACCAGGCCATGTCTCATCTAAGTATAGACTGAAGAGAGCCTGAGAGATCAGAAGAGAGCTCCTGAGATCAGATAAAATAGGGCATGGCAGTAGGGTATGAGCAGATACTGAGATATATGATTCAGAAAGGGTTTTATAATATACAAATGCACATGATCATAGATTTAGAGATCAGAAGCCATCAATCCAACACCCTCATTTTACAGAGAAGGAGACTTACCCAAGGTCAGCTAGGTAGTAAGTGACAAAAGGAGTATTTAAACTCAGGCCCTCTGGTTCCAAATCCAGTATCCACTCTACTGTATCATGATGCCTCTCATGTTAGGGAATTTATAGTCTAAAAATGGGAGAGAACACAAATGCATGAACACTATATAAATTCATGCAATCAGCTCTCCAGAGAAGCTGGAGTAGTTATGAAATATTTTTAAAAATCAAATGATCCCCAAATCACTTTATTTTTGCTTTGGTGTACATCAGATTTGGAGATTCTGGGGAGTAAGTTGTCCTTTCTAAAGATGTTTTCCTAGAGCCAATCCAAACACATAATCATAGCAGGCTGGGGATTATGCAGTTACTCAACCCACTGCATGGCTAATGCCTGTTGTGTAGGGGATACAAAGTATAAGACACAATCTCTACCCCCTAGGAGTTTGGTAACCAGCTGAGGAAAGAAAAAAACTCTCTCTCTCTGTCTCTTTCTCTCCCTCTCTCTGTCTCCTTTCTCTCTGTCTCTCTCCCCCACCCACAAGATAACAATTAAGTGCTAAACTGAGCATTACAAATGTAATAGGAATTCAGAGAAGAGAGGGATCAGTGTAGGCAGGTACTTTGAGATGACTTTAGGAGAAGGTAAGACTTGGAAATAGGTCCTGAGGGATGTAGGGGGTTTCAGAGGGGAGGGGAGGAGAGGGCAGAGGAGAGAAGAGGAAGGTTAGAAACATAAATGAATAGTAGAAAATAGTATTGAATAGGTGGAATTATGGAATCAGTCAGTCAACACTGCACATTTATTAAGAACTATATTCCAGGCACTGTGCTGGGCACTGGGGATACAAATAAAGACAAAAACATGATCCTTGCCCTCATGGAGCTCACATTCTAGTGTGGGAGACAATAGGCAAATAATAATGAACATATGATATATATGTGTATATATATGTGTGTGTGTGTGTGTACACATATATATGTTTGCATATGTATATATACACCTATATACATATATACACATATACAGACATATATTTCATGAATGAGAGATAATCTCAGAGGGAAGACACTAGCAATGGGGGGAGGAAGGCAGCCAGAAAACGTCTCTTGTAGAAAGTAGCATTTGAAGTGTCTTAAAGGAGGTCAGGGAGAACAGGAGGTGGAGAGGAAGAGGGAGAGCATTCCAGTTATGGGGGAGGCCCATGAAAAAGTACAGAGTTGGTAGATGGAATGTTGTGTGAGAAGAACAGCAGGAAGGCTTTGCCAGACCATAAGAATATAGAGTAGTGTAAGGTCTAAGAAGACTGGAATGGTAGGAAGAGACCAAGTTGTGAAGGGCTTTAAAAGTCAAACAGAAGATTTTTATATTTATCCTGGAGGCAATAAGGAGTCATTGGAGTGTGTTGAGTCCCAAGAGTTGATCAATGTTATAAGAAGATCACTTTAGCAGCTGAATGGAGGATGAGTTAGAATGAGACAGGGAAGGGAAATGGGATGTTTTTATATAGTATTTGCTATGTGCCAGGCACTGGGCTAAGTGCTTTACAAATATCTCATTTTGATCCTCACAATAACCTTGTTATTAGGTACTTTTATTATCCCCATTTTACAGTTGAGAAAGCTGAAGCAAACAGAGGTTTAGTGATTTGCTCATGGTCCCACAGCTAGAAAGTGTCTGAGGTCAAATTTAAATCCAGGTCTTCCTGATTCCAAACCCAGAGCTCTATCCATTGGGCCTCCTAGACCAATCGCTAGATTATTGCAATAATGCAGGCTTGAAGTGATGAAGGACTCCATGTGAGCTGTAGCTATGTGATTGGAGAGATGTTGTGAGTAAGACCTGGCAACAGATTGATTGCAATCTGGGATTGCAATCAAACCTTGAAAGATTGTCGTGAGAACCAAATGAGATATTTTAAAGTGCTTAGCAGAGTGCTTGACATGAAGTAGGTGCTATATAAATGCTTATTCCCTTTCTCTCTGCCTTATTATCCCCAATAGGTGGGGTGAAAGCAAACAAATATGACAGTTGACACTTAGGTTGTGATCCCAGATGACTAGAAGGGTAGCAGTACCTATAGCTTAACAAGGAAGTTTGGAAAAGGGGAGGCTTTGGATCCAAAGATAATGAGTTCTGTTTGGACATATTGAACTTGGTATGTCAATGAGATGAACAATAGCAATTGGTGAATGAGACTGGAGGTGGGGAGAGAAGGTTAGGCCTGGATAAATAGATCTGAGATTCATCTGCATAGAGAGGATAATTGAACCTGTGGGAACTGATGACATCAGCAAGTGAGACAGAATAGGGGTAGAAGAGGACCCAGTAGCATCTTGGGAACATGCATGGTTACTGGATGTGACCTGGATGAAGATCCAGCAACAGAGGCTCAGAAGGAACCATGAGACAGATAGGAGAACCAGGAGAAAGTGTCACAAATACCTGGAGAGAAGACGGTAGAGAGGAGAAGAAGGTGAACAATAATGTCAAAGGCTAAGGGATCAAGAAGTATAAGGACTGTGAAAAGACCATTCAATCTGGCAAATAAGGATCATTGGTAACTTTGGAGAGAGCAGTTCAGTTGAATTATGAGGTTGAATGCTAGATGGCAAATGGTTGAAAACTGAGTGAGAGGAGGAGGACCTTGAAAAAGCAAGCAGAGGAATTTAGATTTAATTTGAGAAGAATAGGGAACCACCAGAGAACTTGAGCAGGAGCATGACCCAACAAAAACAACATTTGAGGAAGATTAGTCTGGTAGTGTTATGCAGGGTCAACTAGAGAAGGGAGCTTAGAAATAAGGAAAGCAACATAGGACAGGTAGTGTGAAAAGGGGCCATAGTTCATAGAATCCTTGCATCTCACTGCTGACTCGAACTGACCTTTCTCTTATATTTATGCTTCCCAGGCAAGCTAAGTGTGTATAACATGGCCCCAAGGAAGGAAACACCCACATTTGTATAGCAGCTCCTGAGAGAAAAGAAGACCTTGGATGGCCAAGTTGATCCTTGGACTGACTCCAGTTGCACATTTCTCCTATGGTTTTCTATGAACACAGTCTAGTCTGCAAGAAAGAGAGACATGATGGTGAGGGAAAGAAATGTGTTGCATACGGGAGGGGCATGAAGACTGGTGAATATGGAACCAAGGAGTGGAAAAGATAGAGGATCATAGCAATAGAGCTGAAAGGGGCCTGAAAAATTATTTTGTAATCCCTCTCCCTCCACCATTTTATAGATGAGGAAACTGAGGCTGAGAGAGGAAAGGTGACTTGATCAAAATCACAGTCATAATTCAAACTCAGATTCCTTGACTCCACATCTTTCCCCTGTGCTGCACAGTCTCAGGGCTGAGGGGTTCTTAGAAAATGCAGAACTTGGGGCAGCTAGGTGATGCAGTGGATAGAGCTCTGGCCTTGGAGTCAGGAGGACCTGAGTTCAAATCCTATCTCAGACACTTAACACTTACGAGCTGTGTGACTCCAGGCAAGTCACTTAACCCCAGCTGCCTCACCAAAAAAAAAAAAAAAAAATTCAGGACTTTGTACAGATCTATTTTGTTAAAGGATATTGTGGTGATTAAAAAGGTTCAAGACACATAGTTTCTGGGTAATTTAATCATTTTATATAAAGGCCAGCACATTATTAATAAAAGGATGGTCATTTGGCCATCTCTCTTAGATCAAAGACAATCATGGGGGGGGAACAGAAGGGGAAGTGGGGGGGTGTCACAGTTTATATACCATTGGAAGAGTAGGTGTTCCTAAGAGGCTGAGAGTGACATCATGTCACTCTTAGATAGAGAGATTTACCCAGATTACCCCCCAACCTTGGGCAATCTATTCAAAGAATGTATGCCTCACCCCCAAGCCTGAGCAGAACTCAATGGCTACTCCACTTGGGTGGGGTCTGAACAAGAAAGTTAGTCCAATCTGATTATTAGCAATGTCCTTCAAGAGACAGAACTTTTAAAAATCAGGACTTTAGAAAAAGAGAACTGGATATCATCCAAATAATTGGTTATTAATAATAATTTCTCTCCATATTTGTGAATATTAACCAATAAAAATATTGGCAAAACCCTGCAATCTTTAGATTACTATAGAAAAAAGATATATTCACAGCCAAGTTTTTTAGATGGGGTAAAACAGTGGTCCCTACAGAGCAAGTTGGGTAGATATTCTTTGGTGCCAGGCCACTGGGTGGTTTTCAGGGTTTGCTGGCTTTTGCTGCTCCCTGATGCCTGGAATAAATAAAACAATTTATACCATAGACCAACCACCAGATCAAATGCCCGATGCCTTCTGGAGTAATCTAACCCTATACGTGCTGAAGAGATTGATACATGAAGCTTTTGGTTTAGGTTAAAAGGTCCTCTGCTTTCTCTTCAGATATCTGTTGTCCATGACGATTAGGATCCAGAAGAAGGAAGAAGTCCAGTGCCATGGGATGGATGTATCTCCAGTTTTTACTTCTCTACCTCCTAAAGCATCCCAAAGGGGAAGAGACTCCAGACCTCACAGTAACACATGTTTCAGTGTCTCCCAGCCTGTTTACAGTAAGGTCATCCAGGTTTGCAAACCAAATGACTCTTACTCCATTGGACAAGACTGTTACTTCTATGTTCAACTGTTGATTATTTGCACTCAAGAAGAGAGGCTGTAGGATGAGTAATCGCTAGCAACAAATGAGATGAAAGTCGTTTCCATTGGACTTTGGATGTTTTTATTGCAGTAAATTTGCCTTCCAAATTAAGTTTGCTGTACTATAATGTATATTGATTTATATTCCTTGAGCATTTTATAAGCTGTATGAAAAGGCAATTTAGAGGCTCCATGTGCCTCAATTTCCTCATCTATAAAAAAGGATAATGATGCTTATACTACCTACCTCACTGTATTGTCGTGAGGAAAACTAACAGTATTTGCAGAGGTGGAGGACTGGGTATGGAACATTGTGGGACACCCTGTCAGATCAAAAGCACCCTGCTTGATGCTTTGGTCAAATTTGAAATACTCCTTTTTTTTTAATCCATTATTTTTTGTTATAAGGGATGACTCACTGAGGAGGGGGGGATAGATATAATTGGAAATGATGGTATTGTAAAAATAAATGATATCAATAAAAAGAAAAATAATAGAATGAGAAAGTGGTCCAGAAGTATGCTAGATGGCAAGCAAAAGAAAGTCTGAGATTTATTGTTGTCAGTCAGTCATTTTTTAGTCGTTCTGACTCTTGATGACCCCTTGTGTGGTTTTCTTGGCAAAGATACTGGAGTGTTTTGTCGTTTTCTTCTCTAGCTCATTTTACAGATGAAGATGAAGCAAACAGAGTTAAGTGATTTGCCCAGGATCACACAGCTAATAAGTGTCTGAGACCAGATTTGAACTCGTGAAGATGAATCCTCGACTCCAGGCTTGGTGCTCTATCCAGTCAGCCATAAGTCTGAGATTAATTACTAGATTATAACCTAGTCAAAGGGACAATCACTTCTGTATCCCCCTATTCATCTAATAGTAGATCATATAGAACACTCAAAGATTTACAAAGTATTTTATACACACTATCTTGGGGACAGCTAGGTGGAGCAGTGGATAAAGCACTGGCCCTGAAGTTAGGAGGACCTGAGTTCAAATTCGACCTCAGACACTAACTAGCTGAGTGACCCTGAGCAAGTCACTTAACCCCAACTGCCTCCAAAAGACCAGAAGCAACAAACCATTATCTTGACTATCTTTCTAACCACCCTTTGAATGGCATTTTACAGCTGAAGACACTGAGGCTTAGAGAGATGGAATGACTTACCCATGGTCACATAGCTAATTAGTGTGTCTGTGGCAGGATCTGAACTTAGATCTTGTCCACTACTGCATAGGTACTTTTTAATGCCAAGTAGAGTCTCAGACACAAGCATTAAATAAAAATACAACTAAGTAATCAGTTCAATATTGAAATTGAATGACTTTAATTTGCTATAGCTTATCTACAAGGCAAACAATTTATATGTGGCTAATTGAAATTTCATTACTTATCTTTCTATTTATGAAAACTATTATTATGCATCTCTCAACTTTTTCCTCTTGCTAGATAAAACCAACTTTTCTGAAAACCAATTTCCCAAAATGGGTTTCATTTTATAGTATATGTATGAGTGAATATGTGTAAAACATATACATATATAAAATGGGGTACATCTATATATATAACATGTAATACTAGCTGACATTTATATACTACTTTCAGGTTAGTAAAGCACTTTACAAATATTATCTTGTTCTGTCCTCACAACAATCCTGAGAGGTAAGTACTATTATGATCTCCATTTTGCAGAAGAGGAAACTGAGGAAGTTAAATGACTTACTCAGGTTTACATAGCTAGTAAGTATCTGAGACTAGATTTGAACTTGAATTCCTGACTGCAGGTCCAGTTCTCTATCCACTGTGCCACCCAGCTGCCTCTATATATCAGACATCATGAAAGCAGTATAGCTGACAAAGGGGATGATGTGGTCTAGGACACTACAGTTCCTGCTTGAGCCACTGGGAATCCAGCTAGTAGAAAGCAGGTTTGGATGTTTTGGTAGGAGTATATGTTTCCATCTGGTTATACAGTATGTCTTCTGTGTCTGACTTCTCCCCATCTCACAATAAACACAATAGAATTTAACTCCTCTTCCCCTACTCCTCCTACCCCATTACTTCTTTCATTCAATTTATCAGTGAGGCGAGTTTTTCTTGTGGTATCTTTCTTAGCTTGTCTGGCTCCCTGATTCCATATTCCAAAGAGAATGCTTCTGAGTTTCCATCTCCTCTCTCACTTCTTTCCTTTTCATCTTCTTTTGTTGTTTTCCTTCATCCGCCTCCGAAGTAGAGAAAGATGGTTTCTAGGTAATGGAGAGAAGGCAGGGTTACTTTACTCTGTTCCATAAAGAACTCTTACACCATCCATTGAATTAAGTAGTCAAAAGATAATGGAGTGTAGAAAGGCAACGAAGCTTCCTCATCCAATAATTTTGAAACCTCTCTCTGCTTTTTCCACTTCTTAGACAGCCAGCGACGAGTCTGTCACTAAGTCTTGTCCTTGCATCACCATCTCTGGGAAGGACAAACTAAAAAAGGAAGCAAGAGGTAGCGATAAGACAGGGAATATAAGAGGTAAGAATACAGAGAAAGATAGCATATGTGACTTCCTGCAGCAAGAGCAGAGGCCAAAAATTGGGTTAGGAGATGAAGAAAAATATAATGATGATTGCTTTCATTTCCACATCGCTTTAAGACTTACAGAGCATTTTATTCACAACAACCCTGAGGGGTTAGGTAGTACAAATATTATTGCCTTTATTTTTCAGCTGAGAAAACTGATATTCTGAAAGGTACAATTTTTTGTCCATGATCATAGTGCCTGATGGCAGGAGTTAACCCAAAATACGTAATTGCAGTCAGGCAGATTTATCATAACCCCAAACAAGGCCACAAAAAGGTCTTTTCCAATCTGGTTGGATGAAAAAGGAAAGAAAAGAACACAGAGGGGGTGATCAGCAGTCAAATGTAACCCATAAGGTCTGGGTTTCTTTATGGTCTATGGGCTGGATTGGTGTTTTTGGCAATAAAGCTCTCTGACTTATTTTTGCCCCTACTCAGATTTATATTTCTCTAATTAGCTTGCTTCTACTGTAGTCTGTGACTCAACTGCTGGCAAACTAAGAAAAAACAGACTAAGAAAAAAACACTGAAACATAAAACATTGATTCAGAGCAGAAATGAATAGTAAAGCAACAGAAAATAATCAAAGATTGTTCTAATCACACTAGAAAAATCACCAAGCTATATTTATCTTTTGACCCAGTGATACCACTAGTAGGCACATAACTCTAGTCAGCTTAAAAAAAAGTAGAAGGAATGACTCTATGTATACAAAAAAATATAAATTTTCTTTTTTTTTGTAATAGCAAAGAAATGAAGAAAAAGTGGGTGTCCATCGATTGAAGAATAGTTGAATCAATTGTGGCATATGATCATAGATTTAGACCTAGAAGGGACCTTGGAGATTATCCCATTTTCTTCATTTTACAAATGAAGAAACTGAGGCCTACATGGGTTAAGTTACTTGCCCTAGGTCAAATAGTTACCAAGTGACAGAGCTGGGATTTGCATCAGGTCCTCTCACATCAAAACCAGCACTGTTAGGCTGATTGCATAGAATATTATCACACTCTCTTCCCCTAAACCCACTCTAACACCATCCTTCCTCACCAAACCACCCTAGAACTCTAGTCAATCCAGATTCAGTCTAGACTTTACAGGACTGAAAGAAGTCAAATCAACAAGCAGTTATTGTTGCCTAGGTTCTAGACTTTGTGATGGGCATGTTGTTGTTGTTGTCTTTGGTTTTCTGAAGAGGACTAATGACATCTATATGCAAAAACAAAGATGGTCTCTGCCCTCAAGGAGTGTATAGTCTAGTGGGGGAAGACAGTATATGAAAGGAAGTTGAAAAGTTGGGGGCATGGTGGCCAAGTCCAGAGAGTCAGAAGCAGAGGCAAGAGAGGAATGAAGGCTAGCTGGCAAAATGGCCGTTCTGAGAAGAACTCACCAATAGGAGAATGGAGTCATGGGGCAGAAGGATGCTCCACAGTGAGAAGAAGCATTGCATGGGTGAGAGGGTGAGGTGTTTGAGGAAAGATGAAGAGGTCTGGAGACTCAGAAGGAGAACAAATAAAAGCAGGAAACAGAAAAAGAAAAGTATGCCTCTCAACTCTTGCCAGAGAAATGATGAAGTGTAAGTGCAGAATGAGGCATACATTAGCAGACATGACTACTATGCTGATCATTTTGCTTCACGACACTTTGTTATAAGAGAGAGTTTTTATAGAGGTGGAGGAAGTCATTATGAAGTCATAATGATATTTTAAAAAGCATCAATTAAACATTTATTAAAATTAAAGTAATCACAGCCTGCATTTTCTGTAAGAACTGTATAGCATATTCTTTCCCTTCTGCCAAGATAATTTGGTTTTCAAACCCTTCTAAAAAGTTTTAACTTTAAAAGGGAAGGCATTGGCAAGATCTCTCTGTATCTAGCCTCTAGAGTGAGAGGTTGGGAACTGACATCAGTTCTCCCATCTGTGCCTAAACCTTAGCCAGTTTTGTCACCTCTGGGTAGCCAGGATGTCTCAGTCTTGATTTATGGGGCCCTCAGGAATAATCCTGGGTCCCTTTATGTCTATATTGACTGTGTAGCTCTGATTCTCTCTTACCAATCAATAGCTGTGTTCTGAACCTCATCAGAAATGGAGTCCTAGTTGTTCAATGAATGTTTGTGTTCTGGGCCCATACATCCTCAGAAATATAGAAGTTTTCCTAAAGGACAAGCCTATTACAGAATTATTATTTTGCATATCTAGGTGGTGCATGGGAATGTGCTGGGCAAAGTTAACCTGAGGTTAAAAATTTGCATTGTAGAAATTCAGATTGATAAAGAAGATGACTTTCATACCTGGAAAATGAAGAGCTGACTACATCTTACAAAGTATCTCCAACAGTATTCTTTTTCTATTAAGGAATGCCCCAATACATGACTAATTTTTGTAAAGGTGACCCATATATTTGAGAAATATGTAAATTTCTTCCTATTCTCATATAATAATTGCAAGAGATCTATCATCTATCATTTTTTAAAAGTTCTTTTCAGATCCTTAACTTCCTTCTTTTTTATCTTTTGGTTAGATTTATTTGTCCAGGACATAAAGGGGGTACATTGAGGTCTCCTGTTATTATAGTTTTCTATCTGTTTTTCTCTGTAATTTGCTGAACTTTTCCATTACATATTCAGATTCTGTGCTTTTTAGTATGTATATATTAAATATTGCTATTGATTAATTATCTATGGTACTCTTAAGTATAATGTATTTTTGTATATCTTTTTATTATACCTATATTTACTACAGCCTTTTATGAAATTATGATTGTTACATCTAATCTGAAGTCTGCTACCTCTGATTTTTTCATTTCTCCTGAAGCATAATAAATTTTATTCCAGTTCTTCATTTTGATGATAGGTGAATTTTAATATTTTAAGTGTATTTCTTACAAACA